AGCTTCTATTTGGTATTGTGTGGACATTTGCTGCGGACTTGTTCTTTAGTTTTCTGCTGCTTTTAGTTGTTGTCATGTTGGTAAGCATTCCCTACATTGTGGCTGCTAGATGGACACTGATTAGCCTAACCAGCTCACTGTTGACAATGCCTGAAGACAAAAGACTGATTTCAGGAAATACTCAGTTGATAATACCCTTTATTGGCTTGAATGTTAAACAATTGAGTTTTTTTAACTTTCTAGGAAATCCTTAAGAGAATTTTTAAAACGTTTAGATTTGCTCTTGATTAATATGAAATGAGATTGGGATAAGAAATGGATGTAGCTTGGTATAATGAGCTTGATGACATGGCAATGCAGTGAAATCCAATCTTCTGAATCTGTTCGATGAAGCGTTTAAAGCACAAGTGGAACCATTTCTCAGTTTTTCTTTCTGTTTGTCTCAGTCTGCCTCCCTCATATGTGTTCCTGTCCTATTTAAACACAAACTCCCACCAACGCAAACACTCTGTATGAACATGTTTTTAGTTTTTAGTTTACAACCCATTACAAATGTCTGTCTAAAGTGTCTCTATTTGTTACTCCCTTTCAGTGTAAATGCAATGCATCCCTTTGATTTTCAGGATCTCTCGTTTCTCCAACGTCCAGCACCTCTCCATCCACATCTCAAAGAACTTTGGAGAGGAAAACACCAGGGTGTACTACATTGGTCTGAGAGGAGAATTCTCACAGGTTAGTCTTAAAAATAAATGCTAAGACATGTTTAAGGGTGTAATTCTCTTATTGAATTGCTCACAATAGCGTGGATAATTATGTCCTGTAAAATGCCTTGTATAAACATATCTTATTATAGTGCATTCAATACTAAGCTATAGTAATTTAGCATAGTTTAGCTAAATTAAATGTTTGTTTATCCTTAAAAGACCTATTTATCTTTCTAATCAACAGGTTTGGTCTGTTTTTACAGTAATGTTTATTTTCAGACATACTGTATCTAAAGTTGAAAAAAACAGCAACTTGTTTTGCAGTAACTCTTACCCTTTTCAATACCAGTACATTTAAGTGACAGTTTAATGTTTTTAAAAGTGGGGTTGTGTTAGGTACTCCTCCCTTGTCACTGTACTAATTAGGGATGGCAACTTACCTGACAAACACACTTTTTTGAGTTAGATGACAGAGAGTATCAGTAGAACACTTTAATATGTCGTGTAAATGGCCTTTTATGTTCAGAGAAATGTGTTTTCCCACTGTTCTATGGTTGGTTTTTCTGTGTGGGTCACAGTATAACTTAATTGAAAGAAGATATTTGGACTCTTGTTTTATCCCTAGGGCTGCCGATTCTTTCCCAAAACGTTTGGTATTTCTCTGGTGTTACTCCAGTTTCCCTTCCAGCCTACAAAGAGCCCTGTGTGTCCGTCAGTTGTTGCGATGCTGTTGTTGTGACGGCTGTGTTGTGTGCCTCTTTTAAATTAACACCATAGAGTTCATGTTGACTGTAACTTTATCAAAATATGACAGTGTCCTCCATTATTTTTAACGTTATTGCGTGATTACATCATGGGTTACCATTTTGCCCAACATTTCAGGATAGCAACAAACAGCTTGTCCAATGGGTACAATATTTTCTGCTTCATTTTAGGTCTCTGTATCTTTGTTGTCTTAGCTACTCAGAGAGGTCACATAGTTATTTGATATGGTCACAACAACCCAATATGGAGGAATTTGGGTGGAGAGTCTGAATCAGAATCAAAATCCTGTTCTTCTCCGACAGCAGGGAAATTGAAAGTGTTCTAAAAGCAAAGGGACACTGCAGATGAAAGGCAAAATAAAATAAGTAGGATAACATCAAATGAAGAGGTGCGCCTGCGTGAATTAAAATAAAACAAATACACAACCACAGTAAAATAAGTAGCATAATAAAAGGAAGTGTGTCAGATGTCAGTTAGTTAGCTAGATATTAAGCTAGTTGGTTGGTTAGTTAGTCTTGAAGATTCTCATGTTGAGTCACTTTGTTATGCTGTAATGGTTAACACACCACAGTGACTTAGCCCATGGTCTACTCATGTCCAGCCCTTGCAGTTGCAGCACACACTTGCTCTTTAGCTCACTTGTGTGTGAAGCAGCATCCTTTTTTTTCTCCTCTCTGACGTCTGTCCGTCCTGGGAGAGGGATCCCTCCTCTGTTGCTCTCCCTGAGGTTTCTCCCATTTTTCCCTTTAAACTGTGGGTTTTCTCCGGAAGTTTTTCCTTGTACGATGTGAGGGTCTAAGGACAGAGGGTGTCTTATTGTCATACTGATATTCTGTACACACTGTGAAGTCCACTGAGACAGATGTACCATTTGTGATATTGGGCTATATAAATAAACATTGATTGATTGATATTGACTGAATTGTTACCTAGGCCAAACACACCCAAAAAATGTACAATGACTATAGACAATGACACTTTTAAAACAAGTACAAAACCAAAGGGGGTCAACTCTCTGACATCACACAGTTTGGATCTTAGGGAAGTGAGAGCTTGCACAATTGCCGCATATTGATATAGGTACTGCCAAAGAGAACAAATCGAGACTTCACATTTCAAGATTGTTACTTAAGAACTTAAGTTTTCATTGTAACGAAACACAAAGGAACAACCAGCTATGTTCTCCTCCTTAGCCCAGCATTCCTAGCCTGAAACTCTACTTGTATATCTATGAATGTTTATTTGCTGTAAGTCAACATGTCTTTCTCTCTGTTTGCTTTTCAGGCTCACAGACATGAAGTGACAATCTGTAACTACGAGGCATCAGCCAACCCTGCTGATCACAAAGTGGAGAGCGTCATCCCACAAACCAACTTCATTTCCTGAAGAAGCTTCAGAGAGTGGGAAGAAAGAAGAGGAGGATGAAGATGAAGAAATGTTTCAGTGGCGTCTGCTGACTGTCATTGTTGAAATTCAAGATGATTTCAGCGCTGTGTGGCGGCAGGTTTGTTGAGCTCGACAGGGATCGAGCACTGAAATCTGACCGCAGAGCTTCAGATGTGCCGGGAAGTGCCATGTAGTTGCTCTGTTTTCTATGACAATAACACAGCTTAATGTGGGCAGAAAGCTTAATAATAAATGCATGAAACATTTCACACGCAAAACGGTTGCTATCAGTTTAACCTGTATTCATGTCTAAAGATATTTACCACTTTAATCGGGTCACATCTTCTATGAAATAAAACACAAAAGGCTGGAAATAAACAAAGTGTTGGCACTTTTTTGATTTGTGAAAAACTTTGGTTGTTATGTTTATATACTGGATTCATTATAAGCTTCACACAGGTAGAAGTAAACATGTAAAGAAAGGTATTTCAAACATCTGCAGGAATGAAAGAATTCAGTATTACACAGTCACAAATGTTAAGCCACTCTGGATACACAAGCAGGAAGTGTCGAAAAACTAATATAATGTCAATAAAAGATTATTTGAGTTCATTAAGCACTGTCAAATGTAACAATTCTTAAATACAACTTAAGTGTTTGTACTTTACTTATTTTCATTTAATGCCACTTTAGGCTTCTAGTCCACTTCTTTTCCAATTTGACTTTGTACTTTACTTAATTTAATTGTAAGCTTTAGTTACTTTAAACACTAAATATGAATCAACTAATAAAGTATGATCTATAAAAGTCTGACATGGACCATTCTGCATAATGAGTGTTTTTACTTTTGGTACTTTTAATATACTTTGATGCTTTTACTTTCTACGAAGGACTTTTAATTGTTGAAGTAATATTTTTTACTTTGACTGGTAAAATATCTGAGTACTTCCCTCACCTCTGGACAGGCCAACACATCCACTAAGTAGTTGTCCGATAATATCGGCCAGCTAGCAGTTTGTTATGTGATTAGATCATACGCTAAATGGGTTTCCTTCCATAATCCAAAATTCTGTGTTTGTCTTTCCTCTGATTTTATCTCTGTGATGAGATGAATTCCCAGCAGCTGCATGGTGCGTTGACACAGTTAATTAAGTAGGCTTGGACCAAATCCAAGGCTTCCTGCAGTAAAGGTCCGAGCTGTGATTCACTTTATAGTACAAACATATAACTTCCATGGTGACATTTGCCCAAATGCTTAATGGCATCAACTCCCTTAAAACAATCTTATCACCTAAACATTTGTTTATCCTTTGTTTTTCCAGCAAGGGGCTATGTCATGTTATGTTGTGTGATTTCATTGTGAGTAATGCAGTGTGTCATCATGCAGTCAGCACCAGGTTGTTAGTGCATTTATGGCAAATTGTATGATCAGTGTTAGAAAAGACCATATGTTAGAAAATAGGATCTTTGAGCTCTATATTTTCTTTTCTTTTTTAAATAGAGCAAAATTATATAATCACTGATTTATAAATTATTGAATTTATATTCATATGTATTAATAAATGTTACATAGATTTTTTTTTAAAACATGTGGTAGTCACAAAAATATGACCAAGGTATAACTAAATGTGTGTCTACATAAAAATGTACTCATATTCATTCAATTAGAATGTTCAATAAGAAACAAATTACAAACCACAAATATTTCTTGCCATTTAAATTTTTTTCAATCAAATAAGAATCTAAACCAATAAGAGCCTCGTCCTTGGTTCAATCCAGTTGTTTCCACAACCATGATGATCAGATGTAATTATATATATATAAAAATAAGAAGAAATGTGGAAGTGATAAATAGATTACTGCTGTTTTCAATGCATGCCTATTATTTATTCAATATTTTTTTTCAATAGTGTCTGATTTATATTTTGAATAGTGGTTGGCTTTGTGTTGTTTACTGTTAGTACATTTTCATTTACCAATGTAGTAGCTGCATATGCCGTCACATAAGGATACAATTAGACTTCGGAAATGGTTCTTAATTAATATTATATATTATTTCGCAGATGTTTACCCTATATATTTACAATATAAACGAAGTTCATATTATAAAAACCATTAAAAAGACCACTAGCTACAGTAGGGCGTTGCTATGAGGTGACGTCCTGGCCCCGCCCCCTGCTTGTGTGCGGCCAGTACCGGAAGTTCCGTTCCGTCGCGAACTGGGAAAGCAAAGCGGTAAGTGTAATGCATTTGTTCTGCTTGCGGGCCTCAGATGTTCATTTTAATCCACTTTATCCAGGTCTTACTTGATTTGTATTAGAACATTGTGTTGCTTAAGGTGTCTTCTAAAAACTGCCCGTGTTTGAGGTCCGAATTCGATTCAAAACGTGAGCGAGAGGTAAACGAAGAGAGAGACACCGGCAGGAGACAATACAATGATGTTAGCTAGCAGCTCTACTACAGCTAGCCGCGGTTATTGTGCAGTGTGTGTGTGCGCGCGCACATGGTGTGTGTCTGTGCGCGCGTTTTGGCCAGCTATAAACCGAGATTAAAGCCGAGCAATGGGAGAAGTGTTTTTTGGGGCAGTATAGGCTTTGCAGTGCTGAATGCCATCACTACTAGTACTGAGGACGGATGGGTCGAATAACCATTCATTGTCTCCTTCCTCTTCGACACCCACACCCCCCACTTCCTCTGCTTCAACTAAAGCTTTTATTTTTTTATATAACCGATTAATCCTTCTGCTTTCACTGTGTTCTCCGACTGCGGTTTCTACATCGGCTAGTAGTCGCGCTATTAACCTCAAGCAGCAGCAGGCGGAAAGCTGCTGGTGGTGTGTATGAAAGTAGGAGGAACGAGGGTGGTGCCTGTCACTCATTGCCGCATATTATCCTGTTGTTTGCCAGCCATCCGAAGCCATTGAGCCAAAGAGCTGTCAGAATGCAGCACCGGGTGTTTGTGTGTGCCTGTTTGACGACCTTACACACACAAACTGCAGCACGACTCTGTTTATGTGTGTTTGTTTGATTTGAATGTAATTGGAGTCATGCAGGATGGCGACTCTTGATGTGCTTTACGTTGAATGCTGCAAATCTTTTCCTATCTCGGTGTTTCTGTCACCTAAAAGTATCACAGAGCAGTCATAAAGAGTCCAGTTTATTAATCATGTGACAATATTAAATTGTCTATATCCTAAAAAAAACAAGTATCACTTAGCACAATATTTAATATAAAATATACCATGATGAACACTAACATTTGATAATATCCATTTTTAATAGGGCTGCAATTATTTTTCGCTATTAAAAAAAGAAGGCTCATCCCATTTTCTCCAAGTCCATTAGTCCATCATTAAATGTCTTATTGTTCAATACAAAAACCTAAGATATATCCACATCATTTAACATATACAAAATTGATAAAGCCACACATCTCTATTATTTATCAATTATCAAATCAAATCATGATTATCGACATAGTTGCTAATTATTTTCTGTTTTCGGACTGGTTACATGTATCAATCAGTTTTATCTCTTAATTCAACATGTAACAGAAGTTATTAATGGGCATTTCAGGGCTTTGGTAGATATACAATACACATTTTGATTGATAAATGAATAACCAACTGAGGGCTGAAATGATAAGTCCACAAATTAATGCCAGCAGTTTTGATAAACATTTGATAATTTGATTATTGTGTAATGGAAAGGTTTTATGTTCATATTCAAGGCTTGTTAATTTTAGACTGATTTATTGGACCATCAAATCATATTGAGATCTTTCTATGGGATCTGAGAACTTTTCAATGCCGTCATAACTACACCAATAAACGAATTCCAAACACAAAAAACAAATGAAGAAAATAACTGTCACAGCTCTATTCTAGCTGTTTACATGAGGAGAAGTTTTAAAGGTTCTTATAAATCAAATTGGCAACATGCTTCATCATTACTAATCTGTGAAGCATGCTCTAAATAAGCTTCTCTGCCCGTGAACATATATAGTTGGTCCTAGATTAGATCGACCCATCCTGTTTTCAGTTGTTTTTAACACCCAACCTGAATTGGACAAGATGCTGGTACACAGCGTGACACTATTTGTAACCAGCAGCCTCCTCCAGAGGCAGAGAGCGAGCCATTATGTCTAAGCGTGCATTGAAAACCCACATGGTTATATTTGTGCTGTTACTCTGGGTTACGGGGCACTGTGAACCTGCTAAACAATTACAGGTGGCGAGTGCAAAAAGGGAATAAAAGTGATTAATCGCCTCTTTGCATATTCTGGCATGTTTAGAGAGCTTCTTCGAACACATTATCCAATGTCCCTGCACTCCTCCTCCATCTTTATCTCTTCCTGTCTTTCACTCCTCTTGTGGTCTACTATTAGTTATATGATCTAAGTGGCTCTGTCTGTTCCCATCCAGGGCCAAATGGCAGCTAAATTGCATTTATTTATACCCACAGTTAGAAATTGGGGACAATGATCAACTTGTGATGCACACATGTTAATCCCATAAAATGTGTCTAAGCATTTAGTTGAGATAAAAGTACTCACATCTTTTATTTAAAGTGGACCTATCATGCTATATTTGAAACATATATTGTAGGGCCATACTTATATAAACTATATAAATATATATTTTTTTTCAAAATACCAAACAGATCCTGCATTTTAGCCATGCCTCATTTAGCTCTATTTGCTCTTTCCAGCCCTGTTTTTGCAGGGGGCTGATTCTGTGAGCTGCAACTGACCACGCCCCCCTGCAGGAGAGGGGAGTAGGGGTCGATATTCCGCATTTGACCGATTATCGGTATCGGCCTTTTTTTTATATCAAATTGCCGATAAAACTTTGGCTCTGATGCGGCCGTTTCTCTGGCTGCAGTCACCACTCTGTGTACACGAGCAATGTCCCGCCCACAGCGCTATCTGATAGGCTATTACTGAAGAGCCAGCCAGAGAGGCGGGACCTTCTCAGATTACAGGCAGGTGCGAAAGAACGCAGACACAGACTGAAGCAAGCAGCAGCGCAGAGCGGCAGAGCCATACATGTGTTAAACCGAAGTTCAATAAACATCCCTATCCCCTATGCTGAAGTTGCAAAAACACCACGATCTTATGATCCAATTCTATCAGTTTCCCAGTTACACAGGGACGCGGGAAGTCAGTCAGAGTTGGGGGTGCGTGCAGCGTCTCGCAGCGGAGTAACTGTGGTGCGGAGGGGGGGGGGGGGAGAGGCTGCGAGTGGAGCCTCGCAGTTTTTCAGGTTGATATGTGAAGCTCATTAGCTAGCCAACATGTATCTAGCAAATGTTTAGCAAAATATTAGAAGTGAGGCTACTAGACTAACGTTAGGTCTACTGTAATAGTCTCACTTTTAATAGTTTGCAAAACATTAGCTAGCACTAGTGTTTTGCAGTTGCTAGCAGTTTATTGGGATTTTATGCTAGATAGACAGATATAATAAATTAAGCATTATTGTTAGTTAAGCATGTCAGCCTGCAGCCCCACTTCTTGTCTCTCTCTGACTCATTGCAGATGGCTGCACTAAAGAAAAGGGCACAGAGAGGAAACCAGTTGTAAGATGTTTAAAAGTTCATTAAACATAATATATGCTTAAATGCATTTCAAAGAAGTTGTGTTGAGTTGTGTTGGAGTTTGTGTTATTCTACATTTTGACACCAAGATTTTCTGATTTGACTGCAAATGTATATCGGTTCCAAATATCGTTTATCGGTCTCCTTGATTACTAATAATCGGTATCGGTATCGGCCTTGAAAAAGCCATATCGGTCGATACCGAGAGGGGAGTTGCCAGTTACTTTGGCATTAGGGCAGGGATTTAGATACTTTCCAAGGTTTGACATCATGAATTGTGCTACTTTTAAAGCAAGCAATGATGTTTTCAAATCTGTAATCAAAAAGCTCCTCAAAAACGCTATCGAAGCAGTTCCTGCCGTTGCTACGTTAGTTCAAACGGTAACAACGGACTATTTTTCTTAGCGGATGCATGTCAATTTAAATCAATACATACAACTATTTTTTAAATCAATAAAATAATTTTCTTAATCCATAAAAGCATTTAAATTAATATTGGGAGTCATGTCGTTACTTTGTTGAGAATGTGGCCATGTGTAATAAGCTGGATAATGTGCAGCAACGCGGTCATTATGGGGAAAAGAACGACAGGCTGATCAGAGGGATCTAGATCGGCATGAAGGTGCCCGTGTATCCCTTACATATGATTTATATAGAGTCATTATTCATTTGTTTTAAAGCAGGAGGCGCAAAATCTTGCCTCGGGGAGGGAGACAAAGAGCCACAGCGGAGAATAAACAGAAGGGCAACCATGCAAGGGAAGTCTTCTTCGCTGCTTTTGTGGCAGACTACAGCGCCACTTACAGGCCTGGCATATGTACTACAGCGTCTCCAGTGCTTTCGAGCAGCAATGGCCCGCCGTGGCCCAACCTCTCATTCCCCTGATAGGTGGAGAATTGACCAATAGCCGTAGCCATATTGTTTTTGCAAAGAATAAGCCACTGTTCCTGATGTGTATTATTATATCTGTCATTAGTAGATCATAATACTTAAGCATCAGTATGTTGGCCTCTTAATGTGGAGCTATTTTTAAACTTCTTTATATAATTATGTAGTAAATCTGGGTGGTCTACTAACTCGGGCTCCCACTACTCTAAAAGGTCCCAAGATAAATGTGAGGGCTCATCAGATGGTTAATGGTAGAGAAAAAATGACAGAGGAAATCAGACTAATTGTGACAAAGGGCCTCAAGTAGACACAGCACTTGTTTTAATCTGTCATTTTACAATTTATAATATGTTTTTTTAAATGTCAAATCCTCATTTAAAAAAAGGATATAATAACTACAGCTGTAGTGTAGAGCTGCATAATTAATAAAGATGTGATGGAAATCACAACACATAAAGGCAAAATCTGTGAATGTAAATGAAACGTATATCAAATGTTATGGGACTGCACAGAAGTCCAGGTCTACAAATGGTATTCTACAGACTAAATAAGAAATGATCTGAAATAATGAAACTATTATCCATTTCATGTATACAATTATCTTGTTTAATTCCCTCTAATATTGTAAATGATATTGTATTTGCAATATCATATTATGCAGTCCTAATAGTGCAGTAAATGTGGTCAAGTATGAATAAAGAGAAGCCTATCATTGAAATACTCAAATGAAATACAAGAACCTTAGAATGATACTTAAAGGGGTATTTTATCGATTTCTAAATGGCTCTTCATTATCGCAGTGTGTGACACTCCCGCCCACCCTCTCTTCACCTCACCCGGCGGACTTTTGCTGTCGGGCTCCTGATGCTCGCAACATAGAGGTCGTCCTTCTAGACACTGCAATGACTCAGTGATGGAGGAAAATTGTCAAAATATCACTTAAAACTAACTAACACGAAAGCGTGCATGTAGAAGATGTCCTTGATGCTTCACAATGGAAATGTGTACAGTTCTGAAAAGACTTTCCTGTTGCTTCACTCTGCCCTGTTATTATTCAACTATTACTCATTTATCAAGGGTCTGGATGCAGGGCATTAACTGCCTTTTTTTGCCTACACTTAATCACTAATTCACCGTCCACTTCCCCAGGTTTTTGCTGAGATTATGACCTTCAGATGTTAAATTGTCACGTGCCAAAGAGCAAACACAAAGTCCACACGGGTGATACTAAGCAGCATTTAGCTGCTCGGCCGTAGCAGCAGAGGAATTTTAACACACGTTACCCATTAACCTCTGCGTCTAGACATTTCAACGTCTCCCCGCCACCTATTTTCTAACCAGGCAGCATGGCGTCTGACCCGCCGTCTGTCTTGCCTCACTTTCCCCCACATTAACACAAAGTGAAAGGGCATCATGAGGAGGTTTTATTGCTCCACTTTACTGTAAAGCAACCACCTGATCTCATGCTTTTTATCGATGGCTTACTCATAGCACAGGGATGAATGTCTGCAGAGTACAGTAGAGGGGAGGGGCTGCGTTACATTTAGTTAGTCTCGTCACCTGCTGACAAACACACACACCTCATGACTGCTGTTTGGGGTCCAGCTTCATTTTGTGTGTGTGTGTGTGTGTGTGTGTGTGTATACGTGGTATGTTCAGCTTTGTTGTTTCTGTCTGCGTACTGAATGGCTGCATTGATGACCAGCCAGAGTTGTAACTGACTGTGAGCTGGTCATTGTGTCTGTTAGGTCGTCTAAAACGACATGACGATACAACTGTACACCAAACTGCCCATTACACCCTCTGCAAATAACCTGTTCCAAGCTCCTCTTGTTCAAACATCCTGCTTATTAGAACATTTAGAGCTTTGACTTTGCAAACAGCTTACAAGAAAGTAAGATGTAATAAACATGTTTATTCTTTAGCAAAAAAATAATTGAAAACAGTTTTTGTGCTTAAGGGAACCCTGTTATACCCTACAATTTATATAGGTTTCTTATCGTTTTTCTAAATGATACAATATGACCAAAGTTATCATGCTTTCCATTATAAAAGTAAGAGCTGCATTTATTATTGTTCAATTTATGAACCAAACATGTTTTTAGCTTGACCCATTAAGGGCAGCACTGATATAGATACTATGGAAAGTAATTAGCTTTTTACATAAACTAATACTTTTATTAATTATCATGATACAGATCAAACATATTTGTTTTTAAGACTTGGGACTACGAAATGATAGGTAACTTTTAGGTTAAAAAAAAGTGTTTTTTTAGTAGATTAATTATATTTTCACCTTTCTCGGAATGACTTCATCAACCCTGGGTAAGGCAGGCTGTATGTAGCTAAAGAGGGAAATTAAACTGACGGTTTTAAAAATGGGAGGATCAAAATATTTCGTATATTGAAATGATGTCCTGATGATGTGATTTGTAAAATATCCATAAAGAAAAAGTAAATCTGTTTACAGTTCTGTTTCATATGGGTGTTGAGAGATGTATCCATGGAGCTCTTAATGTTGCTCTCAAAGTGCACCAGATTGATGCTTTTAACTTCAATATTTAAAAAAATATCTTCCCGGGGGAGCATGCCCCCGGACAGGTCCACCACCCACTTGTAAAAAAATAAATAGCACTTTACCCCTGCTTACCTGCCGCGAGGCGTGAGCTGATTATCGAGCCTTCATTGTAACGGTCGCGGGTACACTGTGTATTTGCATGGAGTGTTGCAGTAGAATATTCCACTGTAGCACCGGTACATTAATGGGAAACCCTAAATGTTTCAGCACCCTCTATGAAACGTCAAGCTACCCCACAGCACCCCAAAAGAAATCTCTGGCGCCGCCACTGCTTGTGTTGCAAATTAAAAACACAGCGAATAAATAATGTTGGTAATATGTGTATCAAATGAATCAAGTTCCCGGGGCTGATTCATTCGAAGAAATGTTGACTGTTGATTAGCGTAAAATAATATATTTGTATTTTTAAAATCATTTAGCATCCAGTAAATGCTCCTGTAGATAAGGGTCTAACTAACCTCCATAGAACCACGCAAATAAAATATGTATAGTCTGAACTATAAGTGGATTCTTTAATATCTGTCATGTGAATAGTCTTGTGTTTAATATGTGCAGTAGGCTCTTGAATTATGTGGATATTTAGCAATTTGCTCTATCTCTTGCAATTGAGTTAAAAAAAAGCTCTTTGTTGAGTCCTAATGCACATGACAGCATATTTCTTGTGTGTCCACACTGTTCGCACTGAGCTGACCCTTGTTCTTTCTTCTCTTCTGTCTGCAGTACCTCTCACAGTGTATGTGTGGCAACAACATGTCTGTTCCGCTGCTCGCCGAGGCTGTGACGGTGTCTGGGATGGAGAAGGAGACTGCGGCGGTGAGTGGAAACTGGAGAACTTAGCGTATTATTACTCAGAGCATCTTACAGTCACTGAGCAGTTGAGAGCTGGTAGAGAGGAGATGTCTGAGTGACTTCCAATACTATTGCTTTGCCGCTCCATTTAAAGTACATCAGACAGACATTTTTAAGGGATATTAAAACCAGTACTTTTACATCCAATCCTCTATACTTTTGGCTAGAAGATGAGCCTTTTCTCATGTATGCACATGTGTATAATATCCCTTTATTTGCCTTTCAGAATAATTGTATCGATGGACTCATTTGACATCAAACAACGCAATAAGAAATTAGGAAGATTAAACTCAAAGGAAAAACAATGAAATAAAGATAAATCCAAAATGGAATAAATTATATTGTTTTTATTTAAAAAAGAAAGGCAACAAAATTATATATATAGACATTAAGGCCTAGTGGAAAGCGCTTGAGAATAATATGGTTTTAGTCTAGATTTAAAAACTGAAATGTCAGGGCCGGCATTCCTAAGTGGAAAGCAAACAAATAAAAAAAGTACACTGTATTTAAACAATGACACACTCATTTATGAAAAAGATTTGAGGAATATTTCGAATTGGTTTGACACTGTCATTAAGACTTGGTATTAAGCTTAAATCTTTTAAGTAAAACAGAGATTTTCATCACTCTAAACTTGTTTTGCTTCTGTTTTTTTATATTATCTTAGTGATATGACTTGATATTTTCAGCCTATACACTTTGATTGTAATAGTTTCCTTAAGTATAATAAGCATTACTCTCCAATTGTTGAATTTTCAAATCGGGTGCAAAGCGCAGAATTTTGGATACACTTTAAATAATGACAACTGGCAACAAAACGTCTGGTCAGATATTGCCATCAGGTTGTTCCTGACACTCTCAGTTTACATTATTTTTATTTGATTGATTTAACATCAGAGAATTGCTTCTTCTGTTAGATGATAAACAGGGTTTTGTATTCAAGTATTTGAAAATGTCAGAGTCCAGGCTTAGCCTAACGTAAAAACACGATCCTTGGTTTGAAAATAGCACGTTAAAGAGGCCCTATTATGCTTTCCCTTTCCTGTAGTGTGTTATTTAAGTCTTAATGCATGTAAATGGTCTGCAAAGGCTCAAATCCGGTAGTTTCTCTCCCCCTGTATTGGGTCATCTCAGCTGAAACCATAGTAACTAGCAGCTAAATGCTTTTAGTTAGTCATCATTTCTTTCTTCATTATGTCATTAAAGTTTGATTACACTAGTTTAATTTTTAAAGGCTGCAGTAAAGGATCATTCATTAAATAATTGATGCCGCACATTTGCTTACTATTTGACATCCTGGCAGGGCTTTTAAAAAAAAAAAATCAGGACATAATTTCTCATGCGCGAGTGTCAGAGAATGCAACACCTGTAGCAGGCGGCGTAACAAGCACAGTACAGGGAGCATTCAGATGCTCAGCTGGATCGGAGTGTAAAAAGGATCTGAGCCGTTGTCAGGTACAGAGCGGGGGTTTGTTGAACACTACGATCAAAGCCGCGCTCCCCTCAAACCCTACATGGAAGAAATGTGTTTTGATCAGAGCAAAGACAGCTGAGTGTCTGATTCTCAGCCAGCGAGCAGGGAATTGCCAGATTTCTAAATTGTTGTTATTCCCTTTCATGGTTTCTTTGCGGGGAGCAGCGTTTGTGGAAACTGCCAATGAGGCCGTATCCTGGCAAGAATTGTAGATTGGCACCTGATTTTCTCTGTTTTGGAACAGAAATGCACGCTTACCACTAGTACATTGTGGACTACAAGATAGATGTAATGTGATTAAATATATCCAAGTTCAAAGAGCGTTTATTTTGGGTTTTTCTCTCCAGCAATTAATGTTTCAGAAGTGAAAAATCCCTATCAGAAACTTCTCAGTATCTTTGTATGTGGAGGGTTTTATGAAAATGCTTAATTTGATCCCTTGTGTTTTTTGTAAGGTTAGTCATTTGAATGTGCTTCTTTTTCAAAAAATATAACGTAATTGTTATCATAATCTGGTGTTTCATCAATCCGTCTTCATATGATCTGTTGTCTCCTGTCGTCTCACAGTAGATGTCGAGCGAACTGGAGCTAGATTGATTTAAATGTGTGGCGAAATTAAACGTTTTTTTCATTTAGCTATGAGAGACTCTTTTGAAAACTTCTAAAAATCAATAGTTTCGTGCTGCCGTAAAGTCTGCAATACATCAAAAGCAATCTAATAATGGAGTAATGGTGTACATATGATTATAAAAAAAGAAAGAAGCAAATCCTCTTTTCCAAGCCTTTATCTGCTGTAAGAAAGGATTCAAAATATTGACAGTTTAACATTTTATTTGATCAATAAATCATTCTGTTGTTTCAGCTGTTTGAACCTCAATGAAAAAATAACTAATGTTCCCTGTTTCTTTGTGCATATTGTCAATATTTTGGAAAGTGTAAATCGAATGTTCTAACCAGCTTCTTTATGTGCTGCAGGTGATATTCCTTCATGGGTTAGGAGACTCAGGGTGAGTGGTGTTTATTTATTAAAGCAGCCACTATGAACAATGTAATAAACCTGTTTTCTAATTGACCCTAGTGAAGTGTGGTGTTATCTTAGTACTGTATCTTCATTCATGTCAAATGTGTCCTATACAAGAAAGACAAGAACTACTAGCTTTCTGCATCAGATGAATTTGGACGTCTATTAGTTTATTTTGATTAAACCGGCCCCTGGTTGTTATTCTACCTGCCGCCCAATATGCATAGAGTGGTTTGGTGTCAAAATGTTTAATTGATTCCCTCAATCATAATAATAATAATAATGCATTTTATTTATATAGCGCTTTTCACAACTCAAAGACGCTTTACAGTATGAGGGAGGGTAGACAAACAAGGACAGGCAAACAAGTAAAAATAGTAAAATAAACAAAAAAAGGCAGTCAAGAGGAAGTTGATTGAGAGGGGGGGGGGGCTTATGGCTAGACAGAGTTGAAAAGATGCGTTTTGTTTGAGGCGGGACTGAAAGACTGTGAGGGACTCAGCGTCACGGAGATCTTGGGGGTCAATCATGTAGTTTGATAATAAACCACTGACAAAAAAACATGAATAAATGATTTAAAAGGCTCTCAAACCATCAGTCCATGCTGGGTGACTCACTTACACAGATGTTCCATTGTGTCAATAGAGATATAAAAAAAACTCCTCTTTGGTGGGTGTTTTTCTCTAAAGTGCTTAATTGTACCTCAAGTGCAAATGAAGCGTTTTTTTATTTGTAGGCCATATACAGTGTTGTACTAAGTTGTTACACATTCTGGTTTTGATACACTGCCTATCTGTTTCTCATCCGGCTTCAGCAAAATAACAAAGCGTTATTTTCTCCCTGTTTTCTTTTAGGCATGGGTGGGCCGACACTTTGACGGGGATCCAGCTGCCTCACGTCAAGTTCATCTGCCCCCACGCGTAAGTCTTTTTTTCCCCTTCTCCGATATCTTATTCTGCTTCTTTTTGTGGGAGAAATTCTTACATAACTTTTATTTGATCAATAATTTGCATGATTGTGTGAACAAAAACACAATTTCCATCTCTATTTTAAGCCAATTTGCGCTTTAGGTCAAACAATGCACTTGCGTTTAGCTGCAGCTGGACTCCTAATCTGAGATTCGTGTTTTCATTTCTCTCCCTCCCTCTTTGCCCCTCGCAGGCCCCCGATTCCCGTCACTCTCAACATGAATGCAATGATGCCCGCGTGGTGAGTTGGCGTGATGAAAACAGCCTTTTAGCCCAACACTGTATGCTATTGTTTCCGTGGAAACCACAATAGGCTCCCATAGTGGCATTGACAACAATGCGATTGTATCTTTTGAGTTCCCTTCAATGCTCGTCTCTTCCTGTGTGCAGGTTTGATCTAAAGGGTCTCAGTCCCGACTCCGCGGAGGATGAATCTGGAATCAAGAAGGCAGCAGACAACAGTGAGTTTAAGTGTGCACTGTGATGTTACATGATTAAAACACACAAACTGTGTCCACCTCTTCATGATTGACACATTTTCATTGCATCTTTACAGTACACCTCTCACCTGTTAACACTTTATATAAAACAAATTCATTTCCGACCCTTTGATTTCAACCTTGATTTTCTAACTATCAGACATGTTTTAAGGATCTGAGTCCCCTCCTGGTGGTCATAGAGCATAACAACACCTTAAATACAGTGTGACAATCTGCAGGGCCGCCCCTGGCCAACTTGTGGCCCCACGCAAAGTTATATGAGGCCCTCTGTCGCGAGCGTCAACGGGGGGTGGGGGGAGGGGGGGGTGCTAGTGGAGTCTTCATGATCGGCCTGTAGGGTGAGGCGGCCCTGGCAATCTGCATTATACATTAAGGGTTCACACAGTCTTGAACGTTTGGAAAATGCTAAATTTGAACCAATAGGTTTTTTTAATGCTTGATCTGCACAAAACATGCACAATGTGGTGCTTCATTGAAAGAAATCACTAAAATAAACATATTTAAAATGAACAATCCAGTTTTCATGTTGTCTCATAGCAATTCATAAAACGTACGCCCGGAGCATATCCTAAACGAAAAAGTAAAAGATATAAACGCGTTGCCGTGAGCACTAAACTGGATTATCAGAAAAACTGATGTTTATGTAATCTTAAAAAGCTTTATATTTGTATATATATTGAATAGCACACATTTGTTCTTGCTATCTTCTAGTCAAGGCCATAATCGAACATGAGGTGAAAAATGGGATCCCTCCACACCGTATAATGCTCGGTGGCTTCTCTCAGGTTGGACTTCATATCTTACCATGTGTTATATTCCGCAAGAGAAGTATCTCTGAATCAATGTAATAAGAAGTGTGGATTAATAACGCTCTGCTTCCTGCACCCCTCCTCAGGGTGGAGCCTTGTCCTTGTACACCGCCCTGACCTGCCAGCATCAGCTGGCCGGCGTCGTGGCCCTCAGCTGCTGGCTGCCGCTCCACAGGAGTTTCCCATCGGTACAGTTATTACTTATCATAATGGGGAGAGGTTATGGTTCTCTGCCTCCTCAATCCAAACTTGTTCAATAGTTTAATTGGCTTCCTTATTTGATTTTCCTAGCATTTGAATTGTGTTTTTTGTGATTTTCCAAATATTCTCACTGAGTCAAAGAAGAGTGTTAATGTTAGGGTTTGTATTTGTACTAAATAAATACAATTATTTGTATTTATACTTATGTATGTAAAATCATGATGATGTACAGAAGTAAAACAGATGATATATATTATAGAGGTTAGTTTTTTGACAGCAGTATCAAACATAAGCAAAGTAAAGGGGGAAAAAAGAAAGTGGAAGGACATTTTTTTTAGCAAACAAATAAAAAAATGTACTAGGATAAAATACATATTATTTTAAAAGGTATTTCTTCTTTGTACTTTGTTCTCCTAGTTAATTAAAATTCACTGAAATGATCAGAATAAAGAGAAATATTAAATGTAATACAATGAGACCTGTGTGTGTGTGTGTGTGTGTGTGTGTGTGTGTGTGTGTGTGTGTGTGTGTGTGTGTGTGTGTGTGTGTGTGTGTGTGTGTGTGTGTGTGTGTGTGTGTGTGTGTGTGTGTGTGTGTGTGTGTGTGTGTGTGTGTGTGTGTGGTGTGTGTGTGTGTGTGTGTGTGTGTGTGTGTGTGTGTGTGTGTGTGTGTGTGTGTGTGTGTGTGTGTGTGTGTGTGTGTGTGTGTGTGTGTGTGTGTGTGTGTGTGTGTGTGTGTGTGTGTGTGTGTGTGTGTGTGTGTGTGTGTGTGTGTGTGTGTGTGTGTGTGTGTTGCAGGCTTCCAGCAGCCACAAGAACATCCCATCCTGCAGTGCCACGGTGAGATGGACAGCATGATCCCAGTGAGGTTTGGTGGCATGACGGCAGAAAAGCTCAAAACCATAGTCAACCCTCAGATGATCACCTTCAAAACCTACCCAGGGCTCTCTCACAGCTCCTGCCCTCAGGTACTCTACTGTGTGTGTGTACAAAGTGTAAACTTCAGCTCTTTCTCAAACCACAGCAGATATTTCCTTACAAAATGTTAAGATTTCTCAACCAAAGTGTCATGCCCTTAAAAGCTTTAATAGTGCTCTACCTACAGGTCACCAAAAATTGTCTTGACAGAAGAAAAAAAATGAATTCCAGAAACCTGAAATATTCCTTCTCTCTTTGCATTTTTTTGAGGCCTTTCTCACTTAAGTCTGTCTTCAATGCAAACTTTTTTCTTGTAAATTCCCATGTAATGCTTTTATTTCTACACAGTTGCAGTTAAAGATAGGCTGCACTTATATTTTAAGTATTACACTATTTGTAGAATACGACTCCATTGGTGGTAGGATTGTTTTTGACTTTTGTGATCTCAACATTTCCAATAACCCCAGTGTGTTGTAAAGTCCCATAGGGAACAACGTGGTTTAATGCAACCAAATATTCAGCTTATAGCAACACAAATTGTTTTACGTATAGCCTTAAAAAAAACTTGATTTTCACTGAAGATAACAAAAGTTGCTCTTCAGCTTGCACAATATGTATGTATTTATATATATATATTATATGATATAAATGGAAGTAGAATGTGAACACTTGTACTTTAACTTATCAGAATCAGAAATCCTTTATTAGTCCCACCAAATGTACAGTTTTACAGCAAAGTGTCATAGCAGGTAATAAAAAAGGCATGCAATAATACAGAATAAGATAACTTAATAATATAGAGAAGAAAAGCACACATTAGTTATACTAGAACAAAAATAAAGACAAATAAGTAGGTAAGTAAGTACGATTCTGATTAATTTGGCAGTCTAGCTCCAATCCCAAAATTATAATTTTTACAACCACAATAATGATGTCATAAAATATTAAAAATGGTGACACTTCATTTAATTGTAACAGTATCATCTGATACTCACTGTACCAACATTTTCTTTGCTCTCTTGCAGGAGATGGCGACTGTAAAGGAATTTATCGAGAAGTATATGCCCCGAGTCTGACCTCACCTCACCCCCACTGTGACCCTCTGAGACACTGACCTCTCACGCCTGATCTGCCATTCTCCCACAGGAAACAGCCATGAGCACCCCTCTTCCACACACATCAGCAAGATGACAAACACGCACACACATTTAATATTGATTTGATCCATACTGCTACACATAACATACTTCTCTCAAATGCAGTCCTTCAGACACTCATACTGAAAATGCACTGATTTATTCTAACATTAATAAGTGCTAACACTCACAAGTCTTAGCCTTTCGGAGGGAGAATACTAAACTCACATGATACATTCCCTTTGGTTTTATTTTAACCACCTCTGTCAGTCGCTTCCACACTATCAAATGTTTACCTCATCTTAACCTTCAGCTGTGTCACATCCTCTTTTGCTTTCGGTCTTTCGTTGCTGTGTCAATATGTAAGACATAGAGTCACATAAGCAGGTTAACAGCCACCATGCTAAGGTGCAGTCAGACCGAATTTCACTTCCCAATCATTTCCACACGGAATGGGATGCAACACATTTACTCCTAGTCAGGAATTTACCTTTTTCCTTTGGTTCAATCAGATTGAATAAGCAAACATATTATCTGTCCAATGCACAAGTTTAGGAAAGGGGAGTTTATTGTCTTGCTTAATAAATGCATGGTAAAATACTACAATCAGAGCATAGATAGAAACAAAGCTAAAAACCATTACAATGTTTGATAAAACCCTGCCCAAGCTTTTTCCTGTCCCCTCCTACATTTTTTGTGCTACACCACACGAGTACATTTGGCCAGATTAAATAAATTCAGCCATGTGAAATTCTGTCCAACTACGGCTTTGCTTCAATGTCAGTCCCACATAATCTGGTTTCCATCCCACCACACAAATTCTAAACAGCAGCCTGTCCGAGTCTTGCATCACTAACCGCCTACGGAAGCCCCTCTTCACTAATCTTGAATCATACACGAGGGCTTTACATTCCTTTCTTTTTTTTAAACGGGTGTAATAGAATATCTTGAAGTACATGAAGAAAAATCCAATTGAAATAAACCAATCAATCCATGCTTTTGCCACGCTGTGCTGTTTATTTCAAAACGTCCACATCTGCATGTTAACCTATTTCTGCTTTGTGATTATTATTTGTTTTATTACCTCAATTGATTAAAAAAATATGTAAGATTGTAGGTATGAGTTGCATGAAATAAAAGATCGCTCCAGATGTTTGCAGGCCGGCACAGACTGCACACCATGAGTCGCTTCACTGTCTCACTTTTCCTCAAAGATTCTCCCCATTCAAGTGTTCCTGTTTCAGCATCTGCCACCCACCACCCTCCTCTTCATCAGTCCCGGTGGATTTTCAAAGTTCTTTTTGTGTTTAAAACCCCGGAAAAACCTGATAACTATATCTTCTTCCACAACACCGTAGCAGTCCAGAGTTTTAAAATGTACACCTTTTTTTTCCTAAGAAAATATTCACTTCCTTACTCCCTGCTTCGCCAACACACTGTAACCCACTAATATCCCATATAAGGTCAGATTTAAAATGAATCCCAATGCTATTGTAGTTAACTTCTTAAAAAGATAAAATGGCTATACACTGGGAGCTTTGGCAAGAAGCTGTTCCAACATAACTGATGGGTGATTTTACAAATAAAAACAGCAAACCTTGAACATCGTGTGATCCATCCTTGAACATAGGAGTGTAACTGAGGAGTTGTTTGTGCTTAAAAATATATATCAGGTGTTCTGCATTTTCCTTTGTGAATGGTTATTTTGCTCCACATGATTAATTGTTCTTTGTTGGTGTTCTTCACCCTGATTTAACAAAAGAAAAGGAAGACATCTGTTTGATTGTTGTTGTTGAATCAGTGAATGTCTCTTCCCTCGTCGAGTCCTTTTATGTTTTCCTGTGACTCTGAATCTGATGCAGCCCTGCCTTCATTCTACGTCTCTGTTTTTAGTTTCTTTTCTTTGACACCTTTTTTTGTATTCATTTCTTACACTTCCCCTGTGTGAAAAGGTCTTGTGTTTTCTCTCCTGGGTTGTATGTTTTCATTGGTTTTTACTTTCATGTTTTTGTTGTTTATTTGACTTATGTTTCGTTGCGTGTTGTCGCTGTTGTCATCTCATCCTTTTATTGTTTGTTTTTAATTATAAGCATTAACAAAACATGTTTAGGTGAGACATGATGGTCTCCAGTTTTTTTTGGTTTTTGACACCTGTATGCGGAATAAATGACAAAAAAAAAGATTTCTTTAGAGTTGAGTGTTTTTCATTCTCCGTAGCTTGATATTTTTCATGCGATGCATAAAGCCTGATCACTAGCAGGAATTTATGTTGGTCAAAAAAGTACACAAGTCTGGATTGACAGACAAGACTGTCTGGATCCAAACAGTTATAGACTTAAACTGATAATAAATGTAACTAGTAATGATTTGTTGGTCCTTTTCAATGGTAATACAGTCAGTAATGTTTGTATAATGCAAAATGAAAATCCCATTCAAAATACACCCAGCAATAGGCTACATCTGTTGTGAGAATAATGTTGATTCTTTTTAGCCATGACTAAATACCTCTCCATTTCGATTATAGTTTCCTTAATAGGTATATTGTGTACATGTTCTACTTTAAACAAAAAAGAAGAGACAGAGAGGTTGGCAAAGAGAGCTGAATTTGTTTTTTTTACCAAAGAGTCGAATGAACTGATGCTTCATAAGACCCTGAACACTCCCTGTCCCTCCTCCTTTTTGGAAGCGGACCAATCAGCGGCTCGTGGGGGTGGGGGTTCGCTCTGCTGGAGAAGAAAGACTCCTCCCGTTCTTATTATACATCCATGCTCCCGACACAGTCGTCAATCGCCATTTTGAGGTGCTCGACCTGCAAACATCGGCCGAACACCGTTGTTACGCAGCACAGTTGAATCCATTTTTGTATTTTAATCATAGTTTTCGCTAAAACAAGGATCAATGTCTCGATTCAACAATAATCGTGGCGGATTCGCGATGAATCATTTCCAGCAACGCAGAGGAGGCGGTGGGCCAGGCGGCCCTATGAGGGGCGGGATAATGGGAAACCCACATTTCAGGAACCATCCTTTCCAGAACCAAAATCAGAACCAAAATCGGAGGGGAGCCAATAATAACTTGAACAGACCTCCCAACCAGGGGCAAAATACCCCACAGAAGCCGCCACTTAACCAGTCGCTGCCAATTATTCCTCCACCAACTCCTGGCCCAGCTCTCACTATGAAGGGGCCGATGCAGCAGATGCAGAAACCGGCACAACTGCCCATCGCAACACCAGCTAAGCAACCGGAGCCAAAACCGGCAACCCCTGCACCGCAACCGAAGATTCAGTCACCTCCTCCGAAACCCAACATCACTTCCCCTCCTCCGAACCAGGCGAACAAGGACCAGAACCAGGAGCTGAATCCACCGGTAGTAAACACTAATGGACAGAAGCAGCCTCCGAACCCGATCTCAAAGCCGGAGCCTGTACAAGGCCCAAAACCCCCCCAACAAACTCAGAGGTCCGGCCCAAACCAAGGCAATAGCGGCCAGCGAGCAGGCCCTCATCAAGGCCAGAGGACAGGCCCCTTTCAGGGCCAGAGGACAGGACCCCCGGCAATGAGGCCCAAACAGGACCAAGTCGTAAGAATGTGCGGAAACAACGACGGCGCCGAGACCGACGGCAGCCAGGATACGGTCAGTTATTTTTAATAAATGTTTTACTGTGCGTCGAGTCTTTGTTCGCTAACGTTAGCTTATTCAGTTGTCAATGTGCTCGATAAGTAATACAGTGCAGCCCGAGCGGGCGGGGGTTTCTCTCCTAACTATTTCCAGTATTCAATCGTCTGTGTCTGTTCTTCGTTGTATAAACAAGAGCACTCTTTGCCGAATAGTTATTTCTAATGAAAATAATTAATTATCTATTTTAAAAGGAATGTAAAATGATTAACGGTACACGCGGTGATTAAAATCATGCGCACCCTATTGCATTCGCTTTAGCTCTCCGCCATCTTGTCTACAACACGTAGGCCTACATTCACAAATCTCTAAATGGATTCTTTGTGCTAAAACACAAACGCACCTCTGTTTATTTAACACCAATTACAATTTCCTTTGCCACATCTCAAGTACACTAGGTTATAGAAAATTGACGTCAGAAAGTCAATCATGTTTTTCCGTCGAGCAACAATGGCGAATGGGGGATGGGCTGCTCGCATGGGGATACATCCATGAATACAAATTCCGTGACTGGGCAAGCAAAAGCAGTCATGTCCTAGCACAATATAACCTTTGTTTATTGGAATTTTAACTGAACAATTTCAGGGTGTAGTATTGTAGATGGACAACTAAATGTGTATTGTTGTATCGTCGACAGTCGTTCAAGGCGACCCTCTCCATGCTGCTGAAGCCTGGCGAGAAGACATACACGCAGCGGTGTCGCCTGTTCATTGGAAATCTCCCCAACGACATCTCAGAGGAAGATTTCAAGAAGCTGTTCGCAAAATATGGTGAGCCCAGCGAGGTCTTCATCAACAAAAGCAAAGGCTTTGGATTCATCAGACTGGTAAGAAATTATATTCTTATTTGTTAAAGATTGATTGTGGAGAAAAGCTGATTCAAAGTTCCTAATACTAATCTTACATTTTGTTTCTTGTAGGAGTCCCGTGCACTCGCAGAGATAGCAAAAGCAGAGTTGGATGACAAGCCGATGAGAAGCAGACCTCTGCGTGTTCGATTTGCCACACACTCTGCCGCTTTGTCTGTGAAGAACCTGTCACCATTTGTTTCAAACGAGCTCCTGGAGGAAGCCTTCTCACAGTTTGGAATGGTTGAGCGATCCATTGTCATCGTGGATGATCGCGGACGCCCCACAGGCAAGGGAATTGTTGAGTTTGCTTCCAAACCTGCCGCTAGAAAGGCATTGGATCGTTGCAACGAGGGTGTCTTCCTTCTCACCACGTAAGCATTTTTAATGTTTAAAAAAACAAACATTGTGCTTTATTATGCACCTGACTAAGTTAATGAAACATTACTAATTTCACTTTATTGTTTCACCCATTTAGGTCACCACGGCCTGTTGTTGTGGAGCCTCTGGAGCAGTATGACGATGAAGATGGTCTTCCAGAAAAACTGGCACAGAAAAACCCCAGATATCAAGCGTAAGCAAGGTTCAGTTTGTCTATAAATATGCACATATTTTAACACATTTCAGGAATCGAAATCTGAACTTTGGATAAAGCCAGGTTCCAAATTCTTGTTTCATTTTGTAGTCATTTTAGGATATCTCTTTTTATCACTCCATAAATCAGAAAATACTGTCAACAGCCCTAAAATATCAATTTTCGCCATGTTTTTAGGTATACAATGTTGTATAATTCAGGCTATGAATGATATATGAACAAACCCTTCTGTAAAAGCCTTCATAATATTGATAGGAATATAACTGGAAGGTTTGGTGTCTCTACGTGCTACTGAAGTTGAAATTTCGAACTCAGAGTAGGAGAAAAAACTCATTTTGAGAAAACGACCTTTAAAGATTGCAGTGTGGCGCTAGCTAAACCCTCCTGTTCTTTGGATGATAGCTTGCGCATCGACGCACTCCGTGAAGGTATTTCATGTTCGGGGTCATTTGTTTTTTGTATAACCTTGCTTCGTGCAAGTGACAATTGTTGTCTTCTTCTCTGAACGTTTTTTTCTCTGTTCTTTTGCCATTTTGAGATTTCAATTTCTAGCGGAAAGCTAACCAGGAAGTGTTTTAGCACACCACGTGACGCATCTGAACGAATCACGTTGTCAGAAATGTATACCAGCCAATGAGATTTCGTTTCTTGGTTTAAGACCCCTTTGTGCTTTCACGATTGGTTGCTGATACAAAGGAAATTACCATATTTGGATCTGATGAGATTGTGCAGGAGAGACTGAGCTTTCCAACGATATCTCTGATCACATGGTGCACACAGCGGTCGCGGTACTTTATGTTACGTTAGAATGCTAACTTTTGGTGAATTTAGGAGAAATCTACAGACGCAAATAGACAAACTATAGTAAAATAAACACTTAAATGTGTATTTTGTATGTTTTCCTTCCAAAAGCCTGAAAGAAAACATGTTGTAGAATCAAAATGGCTCAAAATTGACCAGTACTTGAAAAACGATGTTTTTGCCTGCCGTGTCTCGCCTTAAAAGTCAATGTTCTGTGTAGAGGAAGATGGTAAACTGACTGAAGGGGGGAAAAGAGCCTTTTTCTGGCAACATTGCTCACTGTAGGACAATGGCTGTAAATGAAAAGTTGATATCACAACACGGTCCAGTTTTAAATTGAGTGTTAGTTAGACTGTATTGAGCAACGTTTGTTACAATGGAGTGTATATATATATCAACTCAGAGTTCTTAAATTACTCGGCTTTAGTAATTCCAACTGGAAGGTTATACACAGTTTTTTATGTTGCGTATATAATCATGTCAACCTAACAATTTGTACATTGTGTTGATTATTTCTATAGAGAGCGTGAGGAACCTCCTCGTTTTGCTCGTCCTGGTACTTTCGAATACGAGTACTCCAAGCGCTGGAAGTCCCTGGATGACATGGAGAAGCAGCAGAGGCAGCAGGTGGAGAAGAACATGCGCGAGGCCCGTGACAAGCTGGAGAGCGAGATGGAGGACGCCTTCCACGAGCACCAGGCCAGCATGCTCAGACAGGGCAAGTGTAGTTGTATTTTTACCACATGAGACAAGATGGATGTCCCACTTGTTGAATGAAAGATGTTGAATACTTTTAAGTGCCACAATTAAATGTGTTGATCTCACATTACCAGATCTGCTGAGGCGGCAGGAGGAACTGAGGCGCATGGAGGAGGTGCACAGTCAGGAGATGCAGAAGAGGAAGGATATGCAGATCAGGTATTTATTAGAATTCTGTTTGCTTATTTAAGGAAGGGGTTTTAGCCACTAGGGCAACTTAATAAACACAAAATAACTTATAATTTTTTCATGTAGATTTTTCGATGCAGATTTGCTTATATTAATAAAATCACACTAAACATTTTTGTTTGTTGACACAGACAAGAAGAAGAGCGTCGGCGGCGGGAAGAAGAGATGATTCGCAAGAGGGACATGGAAGAACAGATGCGTCGCCAGCGTGAGGAGAACTTCAGGATGGGCAACTTCATGGATGTAAGTTAAACTTATTGGTAAAATGTACAACTGATACATTCCGCAATGAAGCAAAATATCATCAATAGTTGTCGGGTTTAATATATATATTATTTTTTTTACAGAGGGACCGGGAAATGAGAATGAATCCTGGCATGAATGGTAAGTCACTTTTCAATAATTTAATTGTTGTCACTTATTCAAAGATAATTTTATACTCGGAAGAGCCGGTATGACCTTCACCCCTGTAGGAGGTCAGCCTGCCTGATTCTTGAGCCTTTTTGGTCATTTGAGACTATCCAGAGCCCCTTGTGTTATGCCCCTGGTACCGGGGGCAAAACGCAACATCTTGCAAGAAACAGTGTCTGAGTGCTTCTTAACATTTAACAAACTATATTAAATGTCATACCCACTTAACGGGAAGAAACTCAGCTATCAGACAATATTAACAATTTTTACCGAAACAAAACACAACTAACGCCAAGCCTCTGAATTAGCCCTGAACAAAGAAATGCTAACGCACTTAGCATAGAACTCACGGTATAAATACTTTATTACTTATCAGATCTGCAAAAACAAGATATCAGATTTTAAAGCTGAGATTCCACAGATTCTAGCAGTATAAGTATCATCACTGTGACCGAAAGCAAACCCAGAGTGTTTCTCAATGTCAAGGACGCTTGCTTGGTAGCACATGTCTTCCGAGTCACTTGCTTCAGAAGCGAGGCAAGAATCCTTGTCTCGGAAAACGAAGAATTGTGGAACAGGTAAACAGGTGTGCGTCATATGCGAGGCCCCACGGACCCGGTTCCCGGGCCAAAATCACGTCATTTGCAGGAAACAACGTCTAAGGAACCTTAATATTTAATAAACTATGAATATTTTATATCCATATAACGGGGAAAAAACTAATTTAACTGATCTTAACGGTGCCCACCTCAACACTGAAAGATACAAACTCACAACGTTATCAACAAAAACGTACATCAAAACGGGTAGCCAAAAAACGCTAACATGGCTTACCTTGGTCTTTGTCTGGTCAAAACTGGTCTTCAATGGCATTAAAACGATGCTGTAGTTAATCCATAGGTTAATATCCAATGTGACTGTGTCCCCTTTGAAATTCTGATAATCCATCCATCTTCTGATAATCCATAAGCAATAAAAACTGCTTTTCCGTTTCCAGAAATCAGAGGATATTCCTACGCTCTGCAACAAGATTGCATGCGCAGAGACGCCAGCTTTTTTTTCTTCCTCTAGTCTATGGGACGATTTCCCTTCGATTCTATTGGCTCTAACTAATTTGGAAATTGGTCCATTGTGGGGATTTTAAGACCAGAGTCTACAAATTTCTCGCTACCACTCGATGACGTAGTATGCTTGAAATAGTGGCTCTGGAGCAGCCGTCCTCGACATTGAGAAACACCCCCAGACAACACACAGCGTAGCTTTACTGATCCTAAACGGCAAATTTGTCTTACCTTTGCTTTTTTCTGATCAAAAGTTGTGTTCAATGGCATTAAAACGATAAAAACGCTGCTGAAGGTTAAACAAATGTGTCTGTCACTTTGAAATGATTACTGATAATCCATCATTCCATTTGTCAAAACCCCTCAAAAACGGAGATTTGTTGTTGTTTTCATATAGTGTGTGAGGAATAGAGGGGTGAAGTCCCTCCCTTTCCGGTGGACCTCCATGGGATCTTATTTCGGAAAAATTATGTATTGAAGTCAATGGCGAGAGAAAAGTGATCTTTCGATCCCGTTTAAATTGTGCCACGAATTACACATGATGTTTGTCAATTTAATAGATAATTTTGTAAGTTAAAAAAAAAGTTGACGTAAAACTGTGAAGTAAGACTTTTTATTTTGTGAAACCGCTCCATGAACTACATCTCTGGTCTCGCACAACACACTTCACCAAGATGACCGTCACTACTGTCTTGCCAAAAAAATTGCCTACCCTCACTATCACCACAATGAAACGCGTCCAGAAGAATGTCATGCAAAGCTGCCTGCCTGCCTTCGATTCTCCCTGAACTGCCTGATATTTTTAATGTTCAATGTTAACCATTTGTGCAGATAGCATGAAGTAGAAAAGATTGCCGATGCTAATGTAGCTTTAGCATGTCTCCCCGGGGGCAACAGCGGTAATTAAAGTTTAAAAGTCTCAAAAATGCTACAACTACTGTCACAAACTGGATGAATGTGAAGTATTTTGTTAAAGGAGGATGAAAGCGTAATTAAGGAGCACTATTGGAGGGACTTTGATGGTTATTGGACTCAGGATTAATTCATTTGGATTCCCGCTGTATGAAGAAATTAAAGGACGGCGCGGAAGTGGAAATAATTCACAAAGGGATTAAACTGTTTAAAACACATGCTCAAAGTAAGCCGGATTTTGCCGCTGTGTTTATGTGGATTCAAAAGTCGCAAATAATCTACAAAATGGAGGAGACCGATCTGATCCGAGCAACTGTGACAAATAATCCAACTGGTTTGGACACTTTACGGGCAGAAGAAACATTTCTATTAAAGAAAGAATTATATATTTCTGTCTTTTTATGCCTTTAATAGCTACAGTACTAACTTGAATTTTTATTAAAATGAATTAATCAATTATTTGTTTGTAATATAAGGCTTTTAGTGACAATCATGTATTGCCTTACAATTATAAAAAAACTCTAAATATGATATTTGGCCTCAAATCATCTGAGGCCTGGCGCCCCCCTGCGATCTTTGGCGCGCCCCCCAGGTTGGGAACCACTGACTTACGTGACTGGGATTTGTAGTCTTTCTACTTGCGTATTTTTCATAATCTTATATTTCAACAGCTTTACGACAAATTGTGACTTTTTTGACATGGAAATTATTTTTTAAGATTGACAAACATATGTGCAATTCATGGCACAATTCAAGCGGGATCCGAAAGATAGGTTTTCTCTCACCATTGACTCGTCATTTAATAATAATTTTTCTGAAATAAGGTCCCATGGGGTCCACCGGAAAGAGACGGACTTGGCATGCATTCACCAATGGTAATGTTGGGATGGATTTTTAGGAACTTCCCCTCGATTCTATTGGCTCGAACGGTTCAAAAGAGGTGTCAATCATCAAAATCGGCCGAGGGGGTCCAGAGATATGGCAAATGACCCCAGAAGTATTTTTTTGTTTGTTGATAAACCTCTCTAAAAAGGTCAAATGTCACTTATTTTGCATCAATCTTGATACAGGGTACTTATTATGTTTTAGTTTGGATTCCTAAAGCTTTTAGTCTTCGATCCCATCACCATGAGTGGTTTTCACTATAAGTAATGGTTTGTTTTTTTTGGACGGAAACTATCATTTAAATGTTTTTACTATGTTCAATCTGAATTTACTTTAAAATTAAAAAAAATCAATTTTGATTCTGACTTTTCTACATCCAAATCAAAGGTTTATCATTGCTTTGAGAATAAAGATTATTAATTTAGCCCTTTTTAGAAGTGAAGATATAGTAATTTGTTCTGGGAATGTCATTTTCGAGCCTTAGACCTGAAAAACAGGCTTGGGGCTTAACAGGTTAAACCAGAGGTACCCAGTACGCGGGGGCTGGTAGTCATTCATTAAAAAAAAAAAATCCAGCTCCGTTAAAATAGACAAAACAGGTTTTGATCCCTCCTCCCTTGGCCTCCCTGCCACTTAATTCAGTAGTTTACTTGATTGACAGAAAAAGTGACCTATTGCTTTCCAGTCTGTTAACCCAGAATGCAAAGCGATACAAAATCAGTCAAGTGCCGGGAAAACTCAAATTAAGTTCAAGAGACAAACAAGAGACAAACAACAAAATGAGTGCGGGACCGAGCAAGAAGCTAAAGACAAACCACTTCCACCCAGAATGGGAGGAAGAATATTTGTTTGTGATGTCACATTCAAAGGTTATTTGCCTTATTTGTAAAGCAAGCGTAGCTCTGCCAAAGAAAGGTAACGCGGAGAGGCATTATCGGAGTGTTCACAAGGCATATGACAGCGACTTCCCTCCGAGTAGCGAGTTGAGAAAGGTCATGTATTATTGCTACACAAACATTATTTCGCAGTCTTAGTGTCGCCAACTCGTTTCTAACATGCAAAAAGACAAACAAATGCGTCTATGGTCGGTTTATTTTCGATCTTTCCGATCCAGACTAGATCTCTCCCCCCGTCTGTGTGCGAGGGGGCGGGGTAGTTTACACACGCGGCTGCTACATGCAGCAACACACGGCGGGGATGGCGGAGAGAAGCGCTCCAAGGTGTGGTTAAATGTTACCCGTCTTGAGGTGGACAATGCTCGTTGTCAAGAGTGTTTAGCATGTAAGGGCGGTAACACGAGCAATTTATCTAAACATTTAGCAAAAGTGCTCCACATTCAGACGGAGGAATGCACCGGGCTGACTGTCTTTCTAGTAGCTCTGTAGCCCCATCCACGAGTAACGTTTCCACGTCAGGTATTATGTATGCTAGCAGCAACACACGGAGTTAACTCAATTATACAAACATGGGTTAATGATTAGAGGAAACTGAGTTACTCTTTATTTTGTTAAAGTTTCAGCTATTCTGTTTACAGTTCTGTCATCACATTATTTAATATGATTTGTTAAAACATTGCTGTTTCTTTTGATGTGAAATATTATTTATATTTAAATAAAAAGCAATGTCAATTTTGTAAACAATTTGTTAAGTTAATTTAATATATGTACTTTTGAATCAAGTATTCATCTTTATTGTCTTCATTGCTAGTTTCCACATGCCTAAAACAACCTCAAGCTAAATCTAAAAGTTGATGGCTAAATAAGAGCGTTTGAGAAATTGTGCAAGGCATACAGGAATAGTCGATTAATCGTTTCATTAATCGATAGATTAATCGATTATCAAATGAGTCGTTTGTTGCAGCCCTATTGTAGTTATCCCATGTATAAATAAAATGTGTTATTCAGCAACCCTTGCAATTTGGGATTTTATTTTTGGTTGGTAGACCTCGGTGAGCTGGTCATTTCAAAAGTAGCTCACCAGCCAAAAAAGTGTGGGCACCCCTGGGTTAAACGATACATCTGCCATAGTAGTATAACTTGCTAAGTCTGCTTAATCACCTTTTCCATCAAAATAGGTGCATTCACACTGCGGTACTTTTCCCACAAAGGTTCATGTGAACGCTTTAGTTCTCATGAACTAAGTACAGATCGCGTTCACACTGGAAAAAGTCCCTGGGGGTGGATTAGGCAAATGAAGCCGCTGACGTCACTTGTTCTTCTTCTGCTTTGGGTTTACTGGCAGGCCGCAAACCACTTCACGGCGTATACTGCCGCCCAAAGTCCCCGACCGGAAGTCCCCGGAGTTGGGGACTAGCTTCAGTAGAAGCTGCTGGGAGTCCCAGCAGCTTCTACTGAAGCCTTCCGAGTAAATCGCCAGAACGCCGACACCTCCTCATCTCCACCGCTCCCATGTTTTATTTTGTGTTGCCATAAGTTAGTCTCTCTGCGTTTCTGCGCTGGGCTAATAATGCTAATGCGAGGATAATAAAATGGCGGCTTCACAAAACTTTTTGGGAGTTTTACGGGGCGTGGTTTGCAATCCGCCCAGCCAATCAGAAATATAGCTCTTTTCTCACAAGAGAGCCGCTCGAAAGTCCCTGCTCTCTAGCAGGGACTTTCGAGGGGGTAAAAAGGTTCACATGAACTAATTTTAGTACCGGCTCTTTTTGGTGTGAACGCGATAAAAGAGTTCACAGGAACTAAGTTCACATGAACCTTTGTGGGAAAAGTACCGCAGTGTGAATGCGCCTAATGCTACATAGGGACCGTGTCTCAACACATTTATAAGGATGTGCAGAGTTTGTATTTGACTAGTGTTGTTTCTTATAGATATGCCATTTGGTGGAGCCAACCAGAAGTTCCCATTGGGCTTTGAGGGACAGAAGGGAATGGGACCAGCTGCAGGAGGCCTGATGGCCAACGAAATGGTAATGTATCCCTCTTTTTAGACGAGTCATTGTTGTGTAGCCTCCTTTTTTTTGTTGGAGGGACTCCCAGCTGATCTTTCTACATCAAGGCCAGCTGGCCAAGCACAATGGGAAGTTATGAATGACCCAGCTGTCTTCGGGTGGCTTGCTGGTTGTTGTATTGACAGATGTGTTGCCTGCCTGATTTTTTTTTTTTCAATGGTAAGCCAAGCCCCCTCAGTTACCTCCAACTGGCTCTTACTGCTTTTCAGCTAGGAAACCCGTCAACCTGCACTAAATCATAATAAATTGCATTATGATGTGCTGTCTGACAGCGTAAAGCAGAACTCAATGGAACTGCTCTCTCTTATCACAACATTTGTGTAGTGGACTGCTTTTGCAAGCCCTGTCTCATGTGAGCTGGACAGGCACCTTTTCACCAGAGGCAGTATGTCGTCTAACTGAGATTTTTTCCCCTAACCTTTGACAATGGGCCGATTATGTGAAAAAAAAACTTTTTTCATACTGAGCTATCTTTCATGCATTGTCTGTCATAAGAGGAAGTGATGTTGTATATCAACAGGCTACATGTATTTTAACTAGGGTTGGGGTGTTGTTCATCTTCTCGACAAGCAACCTTTACTTTTCTCATAAACATTTTAAGTGATTGAGCATTTAAAATGCTTTTAGTGCAGGCTGACGGTATAAGGTATTGAACCCGGAACACAGTATTGTAAATGGATTTACAGCAGGATTAATTGATGGGGGCAGGCAAGACCTTGAACATTTGTGTTGAGAAGGGGTATTTTTGAATACTGACCAAGATCTTGAGATCTATGCTTCTGGCAGAATTGTAGTACCAATAGGCGCTTTCACACCGCAGTACTTTTCCCACAAAGGTTCATTAGTATAAATTCCTGGGGGTGGATTAGGCAAATGAAGCCGCTGACGTCACTTCTTCTTCTTCTGCTTTGGGTTTACTGGCAGGCCGCAAACAACTTCACGGCGTATACTGCCACCCGAAGTCCCCGGCCGGAAGTCCCCGGAGTTGGGGACTAGCTTCAGTAGAAGCTGCTGGGAGTCCCAGCAGCTTCTACTGAAGCCTTCCGAGTAAATCGCCAGAACGCCGACACCTCCTCATCTCCACCGCTCCCATGTTTTCTTTTGTGTTGCCATTCACAAAACCTTTTGGGAGTTTTACGGGGCGTGGTTTGCAATCCGTCCAGCTTATCAGAAATGGGAACCTTTTTCTCCCACGAAAGTCCCTGCTCGCTAGCAAAGGGGGTAAAAAGTTCTCATTAACTAATTTTAGTTCTGGATTTTTTTGGAACTAAAGTGGGAAAAGTACTGCGGTGTGAACGCGGCTAAGGTTGGTTTCTGGATAACACCTAGGTATGGATATTGTTTGGATTATATCACAGCGAATTCTGTTAACGATACTTTTTTCAGTTCGGTTTTTAATCAATACTCTTACTGGTTCTTTTCATTACTAAATTATAGCTTTTTTTCATAAACTAAATAATTGAGAAGAGGATTAGATTTAATCCATATTTTAATATCTATATAGCTATGGATCAAACTTAAATGTTTTTGTACCGCAAACTCTGGAAACAAATAAAATAACAAACGAGACAGCCTACAGGGAGGAGAACTGCGGATACATTTACAAATTCTTTAGATTTGTGACTCAAGCTAACAGACTACACACAGATAGCTTGTTTGTAACAATTTTCCATTAGCTAATCTAGCACGTTGTGCTTATGTAAAGCGCAGGGGCTTAAAGACTAGCCAGCAGATCTATATATATCACACTTAGTGAGACAAACTCTAGCATTACACAACAAAGAGAGAAAATGATGTGGTGGTAGATTATACTAGAACGTTTTAAAATGCCAATAAAATAACTGCTTAAGTTAGAGTTAATTGATACTACTACTTTCATGTATGCCTTGTGGAGCATTTAATAACAGTTTTGCTGCCCATCCCTAATTACAATTGACTGTAAGAACGTCTTATATACAACCATTTTCTGTTCAACAAACATATTATTTGAAAATAGTTTTGTCCATTTTGATAAATCAAACTTTGTGTTCTCATGCTAATAAGAGCATCCGATAATTATCAATTCTTGCTTTACCTTTTAAAGCATGATTTTCCTTGGTGGTTTTAGAAAAGGTTTCTTATGAATTGAAAATGTTTTTGAAGTTTGGAAATGCACCATTCTCACAATCCATGAAATGTTCACAATGACACTATTTAATAATGTCTTAATGTAAAGCTCCGTATAACATGACGTCTGATCAGTGTTATTTCCACTCGAGTACATACTCGTAATCCACTTTATTACTATATCGCTGTTTATGTTCTGTTTTTACCATATTCCAATGTAGCCTTGTGTTGAAAAAATAGTTGGTAGTGTTGGAGTTTTTAGCTTTTGAGACTTTTAGTCTTTTCACACTAAGGTTTCACAGGGTATGCCAGCATTGGCATATCATGTGCATATTGTTTTCCTGTTGGAGAAATGTCTTGTGCAATGTTTCATTTTACAGTGGCAATATTCTACACATGCATTCCTGATGTAGTCCTTGTACTTCAGTCTGGTCTCGTTTGGGACCATAAGTCATTAATGATTTCTTTTTTTAATTGCAGTGCCATAAGAGGTGCTGTAATAGCAGGACAGTGTATTCATATGTAATTTCTGCTCATCGAACCACATATAATTTAAGAAAACAACTTACGCTCGCAAAAACAACAACTATAACATTTATTTTATTGAAAGGCCTCCAAGGCGTTTTCTGTTGCTACATTAAGTTATCTTAAAAGCCAATTGTGGGCAGCATTCACAAAATGCTAGACCTACGGAGTAGTAAGACTATGCTTAAGGCTGGTCTTGGCATGCACTGGAGAGACCGTACTAGGTAGGCACTGACTAACGAAAGCATTACCCTCTCTTCCTTTTCTGTATGTAACCTGTGGCACCTGTGGACCTTCATATTGGAACGAACCGTTTCTTCGGATGTGTCTCCTGCTGGTTGTGTTGTAAATCTCACAATATAAAACAAATCACCTTTACTACCGTACCATTTATACACTTCCATATGGACATGAACTTTGTGCCTGCGCACTAAACCATTACTTAACACCCCCTCTCCAATCTGCCCACCTGGCAAATTAAACCCAACAGCGCAACGAGCGCTTTGCCCAGGGCGGTCCTAGGGGAATGGGTCCTGGTACCCCCGGGTTCGGCAGGGTCCGGGAGGAGTTTGATGGTCCTGCTAAGAAACCCCGTTTTTAAATGCTGCTATTTGAAGCTTCCAGCAGCAACATTTGTATAGATTCTCCACAACAAACTTGTTGAGTCGCATTTCTTCTATTTAAGTTTAAATTGTTGCTACATTTTAGCCTGACAATTTACTCATTTTATGACAAAGTCAATATTTTCCTTTTTTATTTTGTATTGTCAGTAGTATGGAAAGATGGAACACCCTCGTGTGATCATTAGCTCTTTCAGACACATGTATACTTTTCTTTTCTAGATGTATTATGCTCTGTGAGTCGCCGTGAAGTGATAACTGTAACACTTTTCTCTACCTTCTATGGCTGTGTTTTGTGCCATACATTTGGAGTCAAAGCATGTATTATAATAAAGAGACATTGGTTCTGTCCGGCAAACCGTTAACATTTATTCTTAAAAGTTGAAACTAAACGTTTAATATGTTCAAAAGCAACAATTTACTAACAAATAGTTGTTTTTAATTGACGTGGCTATTTCTGCCACGGTAGGTCTTAAAGGGTCTATGTGTTATATCTGCCGAAGTCCTAAACCTCAATCGCTCAGCTCCTCCTGATGCATATGCTGCAAATTTCCCTTCAGTCTTTTGCTTGTTTTTTATTCCCATTAAACTCAAAGAACTAGCTGACACACATATAATTTGCATTCCTGATATGAGTGTTTATTAGACTTTTATCAAATAAGTATACTAATCTACCAGTGACATGTCTTATTGGTAAAGGGCTTGGACATTTGGCATCTGCAAGACTAGACTGCATCAATGTCTTTGAACTGTATAGGAGACACAATATTATTAATTCATTTAAATATACCACTTTTAATTTTTTCTCCATATACACTGCTTAGTGGCAATGGAGGTCTCTGCTCTCTGTTTAGCATGTTCATTCACTGTTTTTCAGTAACTCTTCTTTCAAGAAAGCAGAAATACTACACATAGATCCTTTAAGAAAGACTTGTTTGATGGTTGTGGGTATCCAAGTGGACACTCGTCTTCTTATAAATACAAATGCTTATATCAGATACTCAGTGACTTACAGGAAACAATTATGCATCTTTGGTGCAATTTTGTAAAGCTATTGACTACGTTTACATGCAGTCGAATACAATATTTAAAAATGTAAGGATCACCATGCTCTCCTTTTTAGTTGCAAACATTTGATCAAAGTGACTGTTGGCCTCTTCTTGGTAGTAAATGGGTTGTTTTGATAAATCAAAGAGAGCTCATTACAATTGAACAAAACTATCCACAAAGTTGTGCATTATGCTTTTAAATACCCCCAGTCTGTGTTGGTAATTTTCTTAGTCAAGGCTCAGTTGTCACCATCAGCGGTGAGACCAATATAATGATGCACTTCTACTACTGCATTGTGCAGCTCAACAATCTTTGGTTTCCATTAGAAAAACTTGCATAATTTTTTGGTATTCTTCAGGTGAGATTTCAAGCAAGCTAAACTTGCAAATTAATATGGGAGCTCAAATGCTGCAGACCAATGAGAAGGAAAATGAAAAAAAGCGTAGCTACTGTCAATAGCGACCCCTATTTTATTTGTATTGACTCGACCAAGATCACAGAGAATGACCGCGCACAATATAACATACCTGCATCTAAACGTAGTCCTAACCAGTTCAGTCAAATAATTATTTTTGGGTACAGTTATCAACATCTATGTTACTAACTCATTTGTATGTTGATACCATAGATACAATATTTGTTGACATAAGTACATGTTGTCAAATGAAAGAGCTCAGTAATTAGTAAGACAATATTAAAGTTAAAAAAGGCTTCCCCCTTATTAACATAAAACAATGTGACTGACTCTTTTAGATGCTTGCTTTTAAATATATTTCCAATATGATTCAAATATTTTCGATTTTAATTAAATTAGTATAACACGAGTCAGCAAGACAGCCCGTGTTGTAAAATATTGCACTTTAAACTTGTGCAAAAGTAGAAGGTTGCAAAGCATGTATTGTCCTGTAAGAAGATGAGAACGTTTTCCCTAAGCAAGGTCAACTGCATTGATGTGGTTTGAACTGCAGTTGAATACCGGGCCAATGTTGGCTTCATCTTCTACTTTAGGTTTCTAACAAGAGATGGTGATATTTCACATTCTCCAATTTGGGAATTCCCTTTTTACATCTTGTCACTTCGTAAAAGGTCACAATTCTTTAATTTTTTTTTATTTCCTCAATTCTATTCAATGTGTTTATTCCTACTGCTTCATATCATTAATTGGGTGACATTATCAGGAGCCCATTTACAGCACCGTTTTGCATTAAAGGAGACAAAGTGTGTTAGGCTGTAGTTGCATCAATGTCATCTGTTGCAATATTGTAGGATGCAGGACGTTTAAAAAAAATAAAATACAATCTTATTTATACTGCCTTATTTATTTTTTTTATTCCTTTATTTATCCAGATAAATCCCATTGAGATCATTGATCTCTTTTACAAGGGAGACCTGCTCAAGTAGGTTCCACATGAAACATAAAAACATTAACAGAACAACAAAAGGACATCTTACATCATCATCACAGGGATTACAATTTACATAACTATCCACATGTGCAGGTACCAACAGCTTCCGATTGAGTAGCATCCAACCGAGCTTTAAAAACATTTAGTGGCACCAGATTGCTCAGTTTCCATTTCAGTTGCAGACTATTCCAAGACAGGCGCTGCACATCTAAAAGCTGTCTTCCCTAAGACAGTCCTAGCAGTTGGCACATTTAATAAAACTACAGCATGCGATCTCAGGCAGTAGCCACTTACAATTCGCCGTGAGATCAGGGAGCAGATATAGGATGGAAGTTTCCCTAACATGGCTTTGTAAATAAAAAAGTACCAGTGACTGAGCCTCCGTACAGTTAGTGAAAGCAAACCAGCCCTTGCATACAGGGTACAGTGATGGGTTAATGCTTTACAGTTTGTCACAAATCTTAGCGCGCTGTGATACGCAGCATCTAACTTGATCAGGCAATTGGCAGGTGCATTCATATAAATCAAATCACCATAATCCAGCATAGGTAAAAAGGTCACAGTGACTAGCCTTTTCCTGGCCTCAAGCGAGAAACAGGACTTATTTCTGTAAAAGAAACCTAGCCTAACCCTCAGCTTTTTAAGCAGGTTATTGACATGACGTTTAAAAGTGAGACAATCATCAAGCCAGATACCAAGGTATTTGTAACAGGCAACAACTTCAAGTTATAGCTGCCTTGTGCCCAGTAAGAGGAACCTATTTGACCTAGAGGGCACTTCTAGAGCACGGACCTCCGCCAAGGCTCAGCCGCTTCAAATTGTAACGGTTTCTTCATTGGCCCATGCTACACCCTTCCACCAAATGTAATGAAAATTGGGCCAGTAGTTTTTTCCATAATCCTACAAAGAGACCAGACCGAATCCTTGGCGACAGTAACAATGAGATCTATAACATTTTAAAAAGAGCCTGCTTTTAAAATTAAACATCAAATTATTAACATTAACATTTTCTATCATCATTGCTAAAGTCTTCCTACAACTGATATTCAAATTATAACTGTAATGCCCAATCTGGACCCTCCCCATGAATCATGTCAGTACCTGCTCTGAAGTGCTTTGACATCACGCTGGCATCAAATGGACACTGGCTTGCCTTTGCAAACATTTCTCAGAGTTGTGTGATAGAAGGAGATGGGCTTTAAAAGTGAGTGTAAGTATTTTTGTATTAACTACTTATTTTAGGATTTAACTGCTAAGTATACTTGTTTCATCCTACTGTGTTTTTCTGATGGAAATTGAGAATTTGCTCAGAAATTAAGCACTTTTTTTTGGGCAGTGTCTTGATCAACAGTCTTTGGTACTGTGCTCCTTTTTTAAACCGTAAACATCCACTGGCTGACTTAAGACAACATTTGGACATATAATTGGAGGACCACAATTCAGTGGTAGTTCTTTTCATTTGCCTTTTTATAGCTGCAAAAACATTGAAGTATTTGAGACTCAAGGAAACTTTAAAGTTGAAGGTCCTCATGCAGTGTCAATTTACTCTGCACAATAACAAACATAAGGGCTTTGTGCATTTCACAACCTTTTTTTATCGAATTAGTTTTACTTTTTGATTATGCAGAACAATTTCGGGGCAAGTGCATGTTTTATACTTCCCAAGGCTTTCCTTGTCAACAACAAATAATTTAGTTGTTAGTAAATGCTCAGACCTCAGCAAACGCTTTTCCAAAAGCAAATGGTGTATCCAACCAGTTATTTGGATTTGCCAATGCTGCTGTCATTCTTAATCTAGACATTCTGGCATATCCCTTAACCCTCCGACATTTCCAACAATACGAATAACCATTTTTGCCAGGTCTGAGTAACCCTCTCTTGGTCCAATAGTAAAAATTTACGATTTTTAACTGAACCTTTTCTTGTTAAACACCATGACATTGTTTTAAAATGGCCACTTATCTGAGCCTTATCATTTGTAAGTGGTGAAATGTCTTAATTCTGCCCTTCCCACACATTTTTCAGAGCTGCGATAGCTTTATTCCCACTACAGAAAAAAACCTATAATATTTGGATACCCCATCACGTCCTTCACATGTTTGCCCTGCAAGAATCCCTAGTTAATCCTTTCCCTTCGAGTGGCATCTGAGAAACCTGAAAAACACACCGGACTACGGATACTTGGTAAAATAATTGGATAACAAGGAGTGTTCATCTGTAATGTGTGTTTGTGTTATGTACATTTTTCTTTAACAGGTTTGACCAGCTTTAAAGATTGTGGACTGTGGAGGAGTTTTTGGCTGTATAGCGTGGAATCAAGAATGCTTTAGGACAAAAGTGACACTGGACCCGTGTACAAATGTACTTTAGTAAGACTCACAATAGAACAAAGGATGTAAAAGGGAAGAAAATCAGGATGCTGACATGTTAGCCTTTGAGCAATGATGCTCATCTAGCTTTGTGGCAATCCCTTTGACAACAATGGATACTTGTAGACATAACTACCGTTACATTTATGACAACCATAACAGAATTGCAACTTTAGATATACATTATTGATTTTTTTTCAGTCAAGATGTAAAAACAGTAATTCTGTCTACAACTTGAGGGTTTATTTAATTTTTTTTTTGGAAGACATACGTTATTGCTTTTCTACTAACGTTTCCCAGATTGGTGTTGGTTAAGTTAAATTAGCTGAAGAGAACCATTCCAGAAAAAGTTCAGTCTGGATACAGTTTACAGCAATTGTCTTTGGAGATTAATGCTGAGTTTTCTCCTTTTTTGTTTGTTTATCATCTAAAACTAATAAAAAATGCAACATTAAACTGTTGTGAGCTTTTAAGGAGATTCCAAATTAAATGTTTAGTTGCTTGTTTTTTATTTAATCTCTTATAATTTGTCAAGCTTACATTTTGTTTGGGAATTAATTACAAACTAAGTCCATTCATTTGGAAACTTTAGCACAGCAAAAAAAGGATTCAGTTTTGTAGTCTTATTTGGTAAATATACAGTCCGGCGTGTGACTCAATGGACAGATGTTTAACCAGATTTTCTGGGTTAACTTGACCTCTGGAATCCATTTGTCACATTGAATGGAAAAACTTTGGGGGGGGGGGGTTGGCGGTGCACAAGTGAGTTGGTAAGACAATTAGTAAGTATCACAAGCATAGTAAGTAAGGAAACATGAAGATAAGAAAGGACTTTGCTAGTTGAACAGAGACGTTCTGCTCTTAAAAGCATCTGAACATCCTGCAACATAGTACAAGTGCTCATTGAAGTGACCCAGGTATACCTTTTAAATATTTTGATGTTATGTCTGTGTGTTGGTGTTGTGTACAAATTGTTTTTCTTTGACAGGTTTGACCATCTTTAAACGTGTTGGACTGTGAGAAGGAACTTTCCAAAAAGAGACCAATCTGTAGCTTCTTCGCTTTTGATAGTAACCAAAGTACCAAATGGAACTTGTTTTTGAAAGACTTAGATCAATGTGTAATCATGAAAGGCTGTGCTTTGATCGAAGCTTGTGAAGTATGAAGATGGAGATTTTAACTTTTTACCATCCTTCTCGATCTAAAACCCTAAACTGCCCAGGTTGCAGTATATTTCCCCATAATGTGTTTATGTAGCTGAAAAGAAAAAACATTGACATTTTTTGAGAATAGTCATTGTCAATATCTGTCTATAAAGGCATTAAGTTGTATTTACAGACTACACAGTGACTTGATTTCAGGTGTTTTGGACAGGGTTTTCTCTCATGGCCAACACATTCTGACTATTATTTATGTCAAGATCTTGGCATTATTCATCAAGTGATGTTCAAGATTTGTTAAGTGTCGCCAAGCAACGAACTAATAAGAACCCTTGTTGGAATTTAAAACCGGAATGTGTGTTTTTACCAACGTACTTATTAGCCTTTGCTAGTTGAGTAAAATGGTAACCAGAGTTCAGAGTTAACCTTTGTTTAACACTAGAGCCGCCAGGTTGTCGCTGTATACCTAAAACCGCCAACGGGTCAAATGTACCCGCGATTAGAATGCATTGATTTTCAAGGTACAATGTTCTTTTATTTATCATACACACAGGGTTAACAGTGAGTTTTGATCGTACAGGGATGAAACTAATACCAATATAATCTGGACTCTCAGCTTTCATATGATATCTGAGCATGAGGTATAAAATATCGCTAAAAGTGTCTCTATAACTATCTATCTAGCTCTATCTATATCTATAAGGAACAGCAGTAAACAGGCATTGCTATAGCAACAAGTCATGTTTATGCACAAGATCAATAGCGCTAAAATCACTGCATTTTCTACAAGGTAAATATTACCCGCTGGTGCTGATGGGTATAAATGGCAATTTTTTCGGCCACTTTTTTCAATCTAACTTCATATTGACCATTTTTAACAACAGAGGGTGCTACGTAACACCCTTTCAGGAAAAGTGACAGACTGGGAGACTTGAATATTTTATTGAAAAAAAGTTACATACAATCAAGAAACAGCTGCGGGTAAAATGTACCCGTTGGCGGTTCTAGTGTTAAGGTTGTTGCCAACCACATTGATCCAGGTACACAAAGTATATTAGAGGTTCAGAACAAGTGCCACCCATTTAGATGGCATTGTGGTAGTTTAATCAACGCTATGGCACTATTAATAGGCACGATATTGCCGAGATTGATACAAAGTGGACCACACTTAGGAGAATACACAGGAACTATATTGGATGTTGAGATCTTGATGTGCCTTATTATCAACATATTTTGACTGCAATATGGAAGCAAAGCTTTGACAGAGAATTTTTTTGTCAACTGACTTAAGTAACTATAGTAAAGAAGTTAACATGGACGTCCCATAATGCAACACATTTTCGCATAGCTTGACACTGAAATGCCTGAAGAG